AAATAATGTCCTGAAATTTTGTTGATAACAATAACCTAATTCATTTTCATTTTTTGTTACTTCAAGAAGTTAATAATTGTTAGCACGGTATGAATGAATATAATCCTCCAGAGAGTGTTTAACACCTTTTTTCCAGTTTATCATCAAGTTCTCAATTCATTTATTATTTCTTACCTATTCAGTATCTCAGTCATTATTTCCCGCTTTAAGAGTTAACTGTGTAACTTATAAAAAACTTATATTTTAAAACAGTTACTACTAATTCTAATCTACAAAAAACCATTTATAATAAACAGAGATGAATAGTGGCTAGCAATGAGATCCGGGACGTGCGTTTCATTTTATTTAGGACTCGTCAGCTGGATGTACCAAATAGGGCAAAAACATGTGTCCTGGATTCCAATGCCATTCATTATCCATCTCTGCTTATATTCTGGCAAAATGCAGAGTCTTCTGTTGGAACTCAGTAATAATGCCAGGATGTTTGGGATGCGATTCTCCCCATCCAAATGTAAATTGTTACTCCAGGACTGGCCTGCATCAACACCTGAACTAAGGATAGGGAGTGAAGTAGTCGAACGCGTTGACAACTTCACTTATCTTGGAAGTCTGATCAGCCCTAATGGTTTGGTGTCTGACGAAATCTCAGCACGGATTCGAAAAGCTCGTTTGGTTTTTGCCAACTTACGTCACCTATGGCGAAGACGAGATATCCGTCTATCAATTAAAGGACGAGTATACTGCGCATCAGTTCGCTCTGTTCTACTTTACGGTTGTGAAACATGGACATTAAGAGTAGAAGATACTTGTAAGTTATTAGTGTTTGACCACAGATGTTTTAGAAATATTGCTTGCATCTTCTAAGATCACCAGGTAAGTAATAGTGAGATTAGATGCAGGTTATTAGGGAATAATGGTAAATCAGTTGATGAGATCATGAATCTTCATCGACTGAGATGGTTGGGCCATGTGTTACGTATGCCTGAACACCGATTACCACGACGCGCTATGATGACTAGTATTGGGAACGGTTGGAAGAGAGTTAGGGGCGGCCAAACCAAAACATGGCATCAGTATTTGAAGTCACTAACTTCTAGCCTGATCCATGTTGGTAGATGCAGACTACCTGGTTGGGGTCCGCGTGACTATTGTAACCAATGGTTGGAGACTGTGGGTGACATGGCTCAGAATCGATCACAATGGCGTAGGTGCATACACTCTTTATCTTCCTTTAAACCTTGAGACTAAAATTGCTTAATATCTGTCTTCCTTCCTGTACTATATCCTTATATACAACCTATAATTTATATACTACTACCACCACTAAATTAATTACTTCTATGAATCCGGTGTTCATCTTGTTGTGCTAATGAGGTATGGCAACTTGGACCGATGCATAAATGTGCCTGGTCCTACGTTGTAGCTGACTGACTGACTCTGCTTATATTGTCTGTGACTTAATACAATATCTAGGCAATCCAAACAGGATGCACATATGCAGTCATAAACATCAATGGGAAGATTCAAATAAACAATACAAAATGAATTTACCATTTATAATATTTTCCAATCCTGCTGATATGTCATGATGTATCTCAGGAAGTTTACTAAATAAACAAATAATATTATTGAGATTCACCCCCATTCATAAGATTGAATAAAGAATAGTTATTGTAACAGAATAACATGAATTCATTTATTTCATGACTCCTCCTCAGCTGTTTACGATCATTGTATTAATTGTTTGAAACAAAACGAGTGTACATAATTCATACACCCATCATCTTGAATAAATTGAATTATTATGTGAAGATAGAATGATATTAAGAGAAAATAATACAGAAGAATTAACATTGTCCTAATGTTCGTTTATTTACAGATTATATATTAGTTGAGATCATAAGTCAATTGAAGCTAGACCACCATGGAAAACCTGGAAGCACTGGAAGGCCGTTTCGTCCTATTATGGGACTCTATAGCAGTGCGCATCCACGATCCCGACTCGCGATATTCCAACCCAGGACCGATTGATCTCGCGCGCAAGCACTTAACCGATAGACCACTGATCCGGCATCCAACTGTGTTAATGTACATTAACATTGTCCAAGTGTTCGTTTATTTATAGATTAAATAAATGAATATTCTAGAAGAATATGGAAACAGAAATAAGTTTTTTTTCAATCGAAGATAGATCTGAGAAGTAAAAGTTAAGGTTTTAGAAATTTTGATTAAAGTTTACGGAAAAAAAGTCTTACGTAATAATCTTACAAGGATAAGGTCACCAGGGTAATACAAGATTTATAACTGTTTCTTTTTAGATAAATAAATTTGGTTTGGTAAAGTGTAACATTTTTAAGTTTCTTAGATTATTGATTATTTTGAAACGTTTCTGTACTTCAACATATATACATATATATACGTACAGCCGACACGTGGAGAAGATTATACTTGGACGTGCATAACAATTATCCAACAAACTACAAAAGATGTTGGGTTAGGATGTTATACAACCTTGTACAAAGATTGTGTTTCTGTGGATAGAATTGATGAGGAATTAACAATGGTTGAACGTCACCTACATGTAGATAGATCCAGACTTAACTTATCCCATTGAATGTTCCTTTTGACTTTATTAAAATAATCTAGATATTCATGAAACCTGATATTTTATAGTCTAGTTGTATAGAACTCTTGTTTTAATTGTATAATTCATTGTATCTCAACTGTTTGTTAAATAATCATAGTTTTCTTATGCTCAACAAATCTTTAAATCAAACTCACCATAGCTTTAAATTTTAAGCAAGTAAGTAAGGCTTCAATATACGTTAGTTCTGGGGCTTCTGATTATCGCTTCACTAAATCTCGGCAAGATTGGACGTAGTCAGTATTTAACTTCTACGAAAAACACCAACTACTGTCACTTTCAATCCCCTTCAAGTAAATTTGATTCGACTAGCGTTTGACAACTGGGAGATATTATTTCATGTGTAAATCTTTTTTTGACTAGGTTATACTGTGATATATGCTACTTATGTTAATCGACATAAAGAAAACAGAAAGGGAAATAGAAAGGAATTGTGAATTGGAAAAATTATACAGAATGTGAAGGAAAATTCATGGAAGATTTGCAAATGAAGTAATTTAATGTATGGTTCTCATATTTGACCAAGATAATCTGTAATTTTATATGGAATAATAAATTGGTTGTCCCCACCTGAGTGTTCAGGCGGGACTATAATTTATGGACGAACCAATCAGGTATAAGATAACAGGTATGAAATTCATTCATCCATTTGGCTAAATAGAGTTTTGGCCTTATAACTGATGTCAGTTCGTGATGAAAACTCTAAATCTAATTCGTAACCTTAACCATCAATTGTAAACCAGAATTGTAATTCCTCACATTTGTTTATAGCGTTCATTTGGTTCTCGTTATTAGGTGGACACTCTAAAGGTCACTTCGGTGTCGTTCAAAGGTGGTCCATAAATTATAGTTTCACTAGTGTTCATTCACGACAATTAGACCACTTTACTCTTTATCCAAAGTAGTCTTCAATATATAGTGTCTATATTCATCCTAGTAACTTATGTATAAATATGTTTCAAAGTTGAAGAACATTGATTCTTATTAAATAGGAATAATATATTTGTACAATTTCAGCGAATGAATTTGAAGTAAATTCAACCTTCGAAAAGCTTGGACCAGATTGCTAGGCAAAACGTTGTTGGATTTACTTCAAATTCATTCGCTGAGATTTTACAAATATATTATTCCTATTTAATGTTTTACATCAACTCAGCGCTCAAATACTGTGAAACTATTCGCTCTAATTTAGACGAGAGTTCTTATATATTGATTCTTATGTTTTAAAAATTTCGTCAATATTTACATTAAGGTTACCATAACTCCCATTAAGAAAATTAATTCCGTCAATATACCTATTTATATTCATAATCTGATTAGTCACTAACTAACCAATCATGTCGTTTATCATTGATATATACTATCCAAATTAAAGCATAACTCAATAGTTCCTTTCAAATTTTTCAACTCTAACATAATAAGAAACTAAGTTGCTATCGGATCTATCAGATTTAAAACTATTTAGAGTAAGATCTTTTTGGAATATTCAAGCAATATATATATATATAGTTTATTCGATTAAACACAAATATCGGATTTAATTTATACGCTGACCCAAAGTTTGCACTGATGATGTCGTTCAGAAGGATGATGAAAGTTCCACGACCAAAACCATCCAGCTTAGAGAACAAAACTCATCAAACATAAACTGTATTATTTTACATTACATTACATCAAATTTCTGTTTAAATTATTTTTTTATTATTTTTAAAGTAATTTATTAAAAATCGGAGTGAAATTATTTTCTCAAAGGAATTTCTTTTTTTTTTCTTTTTTTCTTTAAAAAAAAAAGAGAAGAATAAACATTAACTACTGTCCTGACCAATTTCTCAAAATTTTTGCGTAGGTGTTATGACTGATTTTATTGATTTGTGTGATTTTTCAATCTACTTACCTTATTTACTTAGTTACACTTTGTACAACAATATCATGTTCTATAGCTAGGATAGGTAGAAACATATAAGGTTTATATTACATACAAACATACATGTATGTACATTTATATATATATATATATATATCCATGTTATCTGATTGTATATACAATATGCACAAAGTATATATGTTATAAATTGTTCATGGTAACTTTATATATATGTATACATATCTTGAAAGAGGTACATAAAAGAATGCTTACAATTTGAAATAAGACAATAATTGGTTAAAGTTTAAAATAAAAATCATCAAAATTTTGTGTTCATCAGTTAAACAAATGTTAAATGGAATAAAATTTTGATTTCTTCAATTTACTTTTGGAAGTTATTCATTCATGCAACTTTAATCAACAATAATTAATGTTTAGATGATAGTAACTAAGTGATTACTTTTTGTAAATAATTTAATCATTTATCATAATATGTCAAATCTATCCGAAGATATAAGTATATCTAAACGACCAAGAATATTTCGTGGTAGAGGTGCTCAACAAAGAAGTGATGTAAAAAAGAAAGCTCGAAGAAATCAAAGTACAGGTGATATTATTCAAAGTGCTAGAGAACAAACTAATATACAATCAAAAGATGAGAATACAAATCCTGGTAAAAAAGTTCGAAGATGGTTACGTTTATTAAAAATGACTAGTATTAGTGCTACAACTGCAATCACATTAGATGGATTGAGAACAGAGAATAATCATTCTTATAATCATCAAACTAATCAGAATCATCATCATCATAATAATCATAATCATCAATATCCTGATAATTCTAATTCACCTACACAAGAAATGCAATCTTTTCTTGGTAACTTAGGTATTGGAGCTTATGTTGGTGATGAAGAGAATGCATTTGTAAATTCGGATAATTCAGAAGAAATAAATGTTGACCAGTTAAATAAAACAAATAAACCTCTTTCTAAATCAATGATAAATTTATCTTCGGTTAGTTTATTACCACCTAAACGTAAGACGAGTGATCAAATCAATGAACCAGAAACATTATTAAATGATGCTAGTGGACACTGTAGCCGTTTATCATCCTCCCGTGTTAGTTGTCTATCGAATACTTCATCATCATCACCTCAATCAATAACATCGTTTACACGTTCTCAAAAGAAACCATCCATTTCGGAAATCACAAACGCATCAACATCTGATAGTGGCATGAATCAATTCAATCAAACTGAATTCTATGAATCAATGCCTTTAATACTTAAAACTGTGATAAATCAAACATCATTGTATAATAATGTTCATTCTATGCAGCGTTATAATGTTAGTGAAGGTTATGCCTCGAGTAATTTAACACCGAAACTTTCAACAAGTACTATTACTGGAACTAATAGTCATCATCAAAGTGGTGAGAATATTAATGTCAAAAGAACTATTCATTATCCAGCTTGGATGATTATTAGTGATGAACAGTTACAATTGGATACAACTTATTCAGTAAGTATATTATTGGAACTAGTCACTTAACTTGTTAGCAATATTTATACGTTTGTATGTATGAATGAACTGACATCTGAATCAAGAGTTTCAGTGTTAAGAAAAAATTCTTCCAGGATATTCTCATAAGTAAAATCTGATATTATTTATCCCGTTTATTTACCTTTTAAAGTACTTGTGACTATATTGTAAGATTTCTGCAATGAATACATTAGAATAGACAGGCAGCCCCCTCTAAAGTCATTAGTAGTATATAGAAGTTAGAAATGATTTGTTAAATCTAATTTTTCACTATACACAAGCCGATTTATTATGACCGTTTCCCAATGTTCGAGTTGAGAGAAGGGAGCAGAAAGTGAATTTATCATTGTTACTAAGACGAATGACTGAAGGTTTTTATAATTTGACTGTATAACTTACATCTTATTGATACGTTTTGTGATGAAATAAAAAAAAAACATAAATTAGTTCTCACGCTGAACACTTTAGATTGGTTAACATAGTACCGATTAACTAGTCTGAAAATTCTGTTCGTTTGAATCAGGTGACAGTATAGGTCTTAATTTTTTTATACCTGATATCCCCTTGTTTTTCATAAAATGCAAATATTAACGAATTTTCATTACAGTTACATGATAATAGCTGCATTCGTTGATTACAGTAGGATGAAAATTAAACTGACAAACAAATAGGAAATTTTTTTACTGCCTATGAGTGTTTCACCTTACATCCTCTAATGTTAAGTCAAAGGACGATGGAATTTAATATAAATGTACATTTAGTGTACTACGATAAGCTGTCTAATTTAATTAATGCGTTGAATAAGATTAGATGGATGACATAAACTTGAGATGACCAAATCCTACTATCTTATGTAAGATTTTTAGAATAACCGGTTTAAGGTATTATATGGGTTTATATATGAAATCTTTAGATTTATAGGAAAGTCAAATTTACCAAGTTTAGGGTTAAGAGTGTTATGACTTTATAAAAGAAAAAGGAAGGCCGTATGCCAATTTGTTATGGTCTTATGTCCGGCTTTTATCACGTGATTCACCCACCAATCGAAATACGATTTTTCCGATCTTAATACTGTACCAAATCAATGACGTTCAACTGGTATGAGCAATCTATCGGCCTTATTGGTTCCTTGTCCGCCAAGCCCTTCCACTAGAGACCAGAACACCAATTATAGCTTCTGTTGTGCGAATCATTTATTTCAAACATACTCGGTTCATATATCAGATAGACAGACGGCACTACACCATAAAATAGAAAATAATCTTTGAACAAGTTCAAGACAAATGTGTCTGTGAATGTGGGAGACAATAATCAATAAACTGAATATAATTTAGGAACAGTAAATCGTATAATAATAATCCATAGGTCAAAATGAAGCTTATAATCAGATGAATATATATATATATATATATATATATATATATATATATATATATATATATATATATATATATATACAATCTATTTACTCAATAGTTACGCAATAAGAATATATATAGAATAATAGTCGGTTAATAGATCCCGGACGTTACCTGTACTTATTTCTTCACTAGGATATAACAAAGAGTTAAGGAATTGGTGATCTAAATGACTTGAAATCATTCTTGACTTTTTATTTTGTACACTGGTTTGATTTAACTAAATATGACACTAAGGATTTTTTGTTTGTTACTCTGTGATGATTATCGACGTCGATTTATCCGTTAGAAACGCAACACATCACTGTCTCAAATATTGTTAGCCTATGAGCTTGTACTTAGTAAATGCGTACTGTTAAATAAAAAAAATATAAAATATATGTTTACTGTTAAGAAGTTTGATAGCCCAAATCATTGTATGTAGTACATTTTGGTCTATTAAAGTCTTCTTGAAATGTTTTTAAACTTCTTTAGCTATCACTTTCATTGTGATAATTTTTGAGGACCTTTTGCATTCACTTTTACTCAATAAACTTACGAAAATAACGAATAACGCAAACAACATGCAGATTGATTACTCTAGGGGTTTGAGAAGTTCGTCGAATTTTATATATTACGTCATGAATTTATCTTAGTTGGATTTGTATTGAAAACCAAGAAACACTGAGTGACTGTTTTGTCAGTAGCACTTATTCCCAACTCCACTGGTGACCGAACCCAGGACCTTTGAGTCGCATTACAGTACCCTAACCTCTAAGCCACTAAAATCATCAAAGTCAACCCGACCCATATATATTATTTCAAAAACTTAAACTTCTTCTTTGGCGAGATTTGAGGGTAATTTTTGTATAAAAGTCAATGGAATTACTAAAGATATATATTTATATGTAAGCCTCAAGATACTATATGCAAAAGATGACAAAATGCGAATTTCGTAGTTTATACATCACGGACTATCCGTAAATAAACAACCATTAAAAACCAAGAATCAATAGAAACCAATTTTGTACTAATACAAGACTCTTCATGAGTTTCACCATAGATTAAATTAAATATCTTCAGGTCTCGCGGAGAGCACTTTAATTTTAATATCCATAAGCTGTCATTCAATAATTCACATGTTCAACTATAGTCAAGCTGTAATTATGTTCTTAAATACTATTGATAAAAGATTTGGAAGTCTTGAATTTCATCCCTAGTAGTGTCATTGTAGTTATAGACTGTGATATTAAATACTAGGAAGAAACAGTTATCCACTGATTATAATGTTATTTTTCTTAGTTACATTCAATCCGTTTTGTAAATTACATAGTGAACAACCTCAAGAAATTATTTTAAAAAAATTCTTTGCCATGAATCTAACTACATCAACTCTTGGTAAAGTTTTTGTGTTGGACTATACTCTGATAGTTTAATCATGATAACGATTTCTCCATTGCTTCAGTCTACATCAATCAACGCATACATTACATTAAAATTGACATTTTGTAAATAATTATTCCACAAACAGTAGATTGATATTGTTTTAATTTGTTTGTTGCTATGACAGATACAAATATCAATATATAGGGTGTTATATGACTTGAGGGATAATTTAAATACAACTTACTACTATTTCAAGTAATAACATCAATATTTAATGAAACAAGATTCAATTTTCAAATGAGATTTAATAATCTCTACGTTAACCCATGATATAAAGAACATTATATTACGTAGAAATAATAGTTTTCTTTGCACCATAGTGATAAGAAATAATTTTTAGTTTACGCACAAATAGTTATTACTATGATAAATAACATGCTGACGTATGTAATAGTGTTTATATGATGAATGACATACATAATAAAAAAATAAAATTTTGTATAGTTGAGATCATGAATCAATTGAAGCTAGACCACCATGGAGAACCTGGAAGCACTGGATGGCCGTTTCGTCCCATTATGTGACTCCTCGGCAGTGCACATCCACGATCCCGACTCGTGAGATTCGAACCCAGGATCTACCAGTCTCGCGTCAGAGCACTTATCCGATAGACCACTGATCCGGCATCCAACGGTGTTAATATCTAACTTCAACTGATCCACGAAGTTGAGCAACCATTCACCAATTGTCTTCAGTTAGTTGATATCTCCCAACAGACCTGGTTGAACTCCATTGGTTACTGCTTCTCACTAGAACTCCAGGAAATATCACATGGAGCCAATTACTAGTGAGTATATGATCATTATCAGAGGGGGGTTCTGTGGAGATTTTCAATTATCACTAACTATCTAAATGAGGAATTTGTTTGTTTTAATAGTCTTTTTTTCTTTTTTTTATTAATTTTCAAATGTTCCGACTTTTATTTTGACATGAAAATTGATAATTAGTAACCAGTGTGAAGTAATTTATTTAAGATGTATCCATACAATCGATTCAGTCACATGAAGTTACACTAGTACAATATTTACACAATATCTCTAACATTTATTGATCCATGGAAAAAATTGATCACTTTTTTTAGAGCATTTTATTCCAAGAAAATAAAATATTAAGGTCATATGTACATAATGACTAAGTTGTCCTGGTATTTTTCTATAATTGATTCTTATTATCAGATTTTGATCTTATTGAGGCAATAAATGATATTTAGGATACTAATATTATACTTACTATGTGACATACATACTCATTGGCGACCTAAGTAAAGATCTAGGCTACCTGTTCCTGTCATCTAGATATTTCAACAAGTTATCTAATTTTGTTTGTTTTTATACATCATTATGGATAATAATTGCACGACCTATTCATGTGCGTTTATGAAAAAGGTTACAAAAGGCCTAATCAGATATATCGTGGCTGCTGGCAATATGAAACGAAAAGAATGTACATTATTTAGATGTCGAATGATTAGACTGATAACTTCTAACTGGAGATCACTCAATATTTATCGTCAGGATTGACGAAGAAATAAGAAACGGAAACTAGTTGAAATGCTTTGTGCTGACAATTCTATATTGCATCAAAATATAATATTGAATAAAGCTAATAATAATAATAATAATAATAATAATAATAATAATGATTGTCCATAACGTTTTCAATGTTCAATGTGAATCTTATATCCAGCACTCTAGGTCATTATTTCATTTACGTAATGAATAAGTACGGTATTTTGGAGTGTAACTCTCATTAAAGATTTTATTTCAAGCTTTGAATTTCATTGTATTTGTGCTTTTCGTCTGGCATGTTGAGTTTCGTTGCACTGACATGTTCATACCGGACAGTTTCAGAGAAGTTCAAGTGTTTTATTTGCAATGAAATCTTTGGTGAAAATTACACTCCAGTATATAGTATTTACACAATAAACGAATGAAAAAAAAGATTGGAAGTTCTGGATACAACATACTTTTAAAAAAAAATTAAAATTGTTACGGATATCCTCAATCCATTTATGTAATTACTTACTTACTTACGCCTGTTACTCCCAATGGAGCATAGGCCACCGACCAGCATTCTCCAACCCACTTTGTCCTGGGCCTTCCTTTCTAGTTCTATCCAATTGCTGTTCATCCTTAC